CCTCCGTTATCACCCTGACGTTGTTGCGGGACACGGTCAGAATCTTCAGCTTCTTCAGCCCTCTCAACGACAGCGAGGCGTGCGAGCAATTCTCGTTGCACAATTCCGTTATTCTGTTCCCGCTAACCTGCAAATACTCGATGCCACTCGGAAGTTTGTTAATCGTGCACGAACAGTCATTATCCTCGAGGTAAAGGTTCTTCATGGTCCTCGGCAGATCGACGACGAAATCGAACGACTCGAGCCTGTTCCCTGACAGGTCCAACCAATTCAAAACGGGCGCGAGTTTGTCGAATTGAACGTCCACGCGGGATATACCGTTTCTTCTTAGCGACAGGTATTCCAGCCTTGGGAAGTGTTCCAGCATGCCTTGGACGCTGCCATCGTTCATGCTCGTGTCGTCGACGTTGTCGTCTATGGTTAAACGCCACAGAGTTTCGTGATAGTGAAACCATAGTAGTTTGTTGGTGGGTAGATTGTTGCCGGATATGCTCAGAATTTCCAGCCCTTTCATCGAGTCGAACGCCGTCTCCGAGATTTCCTTGATGTCGTTGCCGTCTAGATACAGCTCCCTCGCGTACGTCGTGTTAATGAAGGAATCCCCTATTCTTCGCAGGCCCATGCCCGTGAAATTCAGGACGCTGTTCGCTACGCAGTATTGAGGGGCACTTGCCGCAACACTGAGCGGCATCTCCCAAGAAGGATTTGCCGTGGGAGGATTTTCTACCGTGGGATAGTATCTCACACCCTGACTTCTCCTTATGCCGGCGAATATAGATGGAACATGACTTCCAGACAGCCACGGCACGGCGAAAAGAAACGGGAATAACACGAGCCATAACCGCGTGAACAGCATCTGCAAACAAGGAACAATCGATCGATCATCTCGTCTCTCGTTATTCGAAGAATGAACTCACCTTGGCGGAGGTAACGACAGTCGAAGAGTGTCTGACGGACGTCTGTTTGCTTCAGCGCGTATCACCAACTTACCACCTTCTGATCTGGATATTTTCATTTGTTCCTTTATAACGTGGCGATAATTCTCGTGAAATTCAACACTCTAGACCTCAGGAGTGTAACGGAACTTTCAGGACACCCTGTCCTATCGCGCGAATGTATGCTTTCACAGATCAGACAAGGATGGAATGGAAAAATTTGAAACATTTCAAGTACAAGAATGTACTTTTTGTTGAATGAATTTCTTCTGCTGTGTAATCCATTTAGTCCTGGACGTTTTTGAAACATTGTCTTCGACTTTCTTGTAACGAGATTCTAAAAAATATTCGAAGGGATCTTGAGAATCCTTTTAATTCTCTGAATTAAAAACGGTGGCTCTGTCTTTAAACGTGAAAACTCTTCTCTGATACAAGAATAATTCCAAACATTTGGAAAGCTGAAAATCTGTGAGAGATATGTCTCTTAAGAATTCGTCGAAGTACGACGAATCAATCCATATCGATTTGGAAAGAAATTCAAAATTTTCTTCTTCTGTGTTAATGTAGAGACATTTAGAGATATTTCACTCCATGTGTACTAAAAATATTTAGATATTTATAGAAATATTTTTTTGATATTTCACTTCGTAGAAAAATTATGCTTCCTTCCTTCTCGTTGCGTCGTGAGACTTTTCTCTCTCTCTCTCTTTCTGGAGCATTATTGAAATTTTGGTCCATTTCCGTCTGCTCCGACATGATTTTTTTTCTTCTGCTAATTTTGTGTATAATGATCCACGAAATTTTGTGTTTTATCTGTGTTAATGTAGAGATGTTTACAGATATTTCACTTCATGTCAAGCAATAAGAAGAAAAGAACACCTTTCCTGATAGACTCCCTTCACTTTGACGAAACTTTACAAAGGCATTCGTGTGACATAGCTGAATAATTATCATCGAAATTATTGGTAATTTGTGAGATTGAATTTTCCCTAACTCCGTGCAAATAATTAAATGGCAAATCGAGATGATTTCGACTCGAATCGAAGCGGGCGATAGATCCCCTTCGTTCGTCACTTCATTCGGCGAGATCGTCCCGCGAAATCTATCTTCCCTCGCTCGGATTACAAGGATATACAATGCCGAAAGATATTTGAATGACGATAGTATATCAGCGTGGAATGTCGACAACGTAGATTTTTCTGACGCTTGCGCGATAACGATAATTCTCACTGCGCGATCCTCTGCAGAAATGTGCTGATCTATTGAAAAATTGTTGTCGACGGGCGCGAGCAAACGAGCGAATCGGATAATCGGAAACACTCTGTTTCGTAATATCTGCATAATATGTATTTGACATTCACCGAGGAGGCAATCAAAGTCCGAGCGGATGAAAAACGTCGTCGATATTTTATCGCGTAGAGGAACAAACTTTACATTACGACGATTGAAATAAACAGTGTCAGATTTAGGTGTATACGATATGCGATATGCGATAGTTTTGTATGTAAACTATTAATTAAAGATTATTCTTAGATTATTGTACAAGGAGACAAGGAGAGAGAAAAGGAAACCCAGATTGGAGCATTTTAGAATTTATTGCAACAACGTGACAGTGATGATAATAAATAATAATGTGACGTATGAATATAGACAATACACTCTCGACGTAATAATCACAATTGTTTGTACGAAGTATCAAACTACATAAACGGTACATCTTTTCGGTATTAATCGTAAAATATTTTGATTTACATCTACATAAGTGATATTATTATTTTTCAAATATACTTCTCTCAGATCGATGAAATTGTAGATCTGTATATTCTCTAAGCTTACGAAATTGTTGAACTCTAAATTCAAACGTTTCAGCATCGGCATGCTTTTATGCCACATCGAAGGCAACGAGTTCAATCTGTTCCGCGACAAGTCTAAGTATTCTAATCTGTTGAGTTGCCACCACTCGGCTACGTCGATGTTGTCGATATCATTCCCTCTTAGGTTCAACATTTTTAACGAATTCGTCATAAATATGTCGGTAACGTTGCTAATTAAGTTGTTGCTTAACGACAGTGTCTCGAGTTTGTTCAAATGATGCACCTCCGGCAATGTTGTTAATTTATTGTTGCTCAAGTTCAAATATCTTAATAGAGGCATGTGTTGCAACGTGTCGAATGCAACGGAGCGGATTTCGTTGTGAGAGATGTCCAACACTTGTAACGAATAAATCACAGGTATTTCGCTTAACAAACAATTCGACAGAGAGAGGATTTTCAAACTATGATAGTTCGGATTTATCCAAAAATACTTCAGCGGATTTTCGTCTAAATAGAGCGCCTCCATGTTCCCCGGCGCGTCCATGACAAACTCGTCGATTATGTCCCGTTCTAAATGAAAGTTTCTTAAATTGTATGCGTTGTCGATTATTGCGCTTGTGTTGATCATTTGTATATAATTGCTGTCTGATAAATAAGCCGTCGTCAAACTTGGGAAAGACTTCATCCACGAAAGTAGCAACTCGTGGTTCAACCCCTTCCACGACAAAACCTCTACGCTCGGCAAGCGTATCTTCAATTCTTTGACGAGCAAATTCGGATCCGTTATCTCGGTACTGTTTTGAAAATCGAGAATCAACACTTTCAAATTGTTATGCTCGATCTCGAAATCGTCGATCGAAATGCTGTTCCCAGCGAGATTTAGGTATTCTAAATTTGGCGTCTCGTCAAACACATGCCCCTCTACCGATTTGAGCTTATTGCCAGCCAAAGAGACCGATCTAATCGAAGTACTGTTGATCATTCCCCGCGGAATGTTCTCTATACCAAGTTCAGATAAATTCACACTTTCTGCATTTGGATATGTTATGTATAATTGTTTGTCAACATAATCTATGTCTTTGAAGTCTGTCGTACGAAGGCTCAATCTAGGTGTGCACACTGCACTGCTGAGGATCACAGTGAGAAATACAATTGTTTTCTGAAAAAGAAAAAAAACTTGTGAATACACTTAAATGACAATACGTGACAATAAACAAGAATGTGCATATCGAAACGTGTAAATAGGCAAATTGAAACAGAAACGTACCATTTTTGCACCACTTCACAGATTCTCACAGAAATGATCACGAAACTGTAGATCGCAGACTGTAGATCGCGGGATCCCGTCTTTTATATGCATTCAACGGCTACGTCATCTTATTTCTATCAATATTTTTAGTAAGAACGATAAATTTATCGTTTAAAAACGATGAATGTGCCTTTCATGAATTGTACGCCTTGAATAAGATGCTTTCTTGCAGATGCATCAAAGTGTACGCTGTTCCTTGGTTCCGATTGGACCGGTTTGTACGTTCTGAGAAATAATTTTGATAAAAAACACTCGATTCGTAAAATACGAACGTATGTTAAATAATAATGTAACAGTGAATATCATTCTTTCAGACAGAGGTATAGATATCGCGATATTATATATGAGATACATGTTATGAGTGGAAATGAGATATAAACGCTTATTATTGTTAGTTCGTATCTCTTTCGATAGTGTGTCGGATACATTTAGCTAACTAGGAGTGATCCGAGTGTATCAAATGTTCTCAGAACAAAGATAAAGTGAATTGAACTGTGAATTCTGTCAACTGAAAGATGTTGAACATCCATAGCTAACTAAAGAATATTATGAAATAAAAGAGAAAGCACTGTTCAAGGATTAAAGATTTGAATTTTAAACGTTATATATATTTATTTGAAATTAAGAATTACATGCTTATTTAAATTATATTATTAAATAGATGCATGATCCATTAAAATTATATATTTATTCAAACTCGAAAATTATACACGGTGTATTGTGTTGAAGCATCTTAAATGGCCATGTAGTGACTAATTTTGTCTAATTTAATTATAATTAAATAATTAAGTAATTAGTATTTATACTAATTTATATACTATAATTAATTATAGTATTATTAATTATAGTAATTATAGTTAAATATAGTAATATAATAAAAATATAGTAATATAGTAAATTAAATATAATAATTATAGTAATTAAATAATTAGTATTTATACTAATTTATACTAATTTATAGTATTTTTCGAGTCATGATTCGCAACATTTTTTTCTCTTTTTGTAATAACATACTTTGTAAAATTTTCGCCTTTCATTCTTTTGCCTTTTGCAAAATGATCTTTATAGTATAATCTTCCTCGGGCTGTTATATTTGAAAAATAAGTTATCAGGAGTGACTGAGTGTATCGAAGGGTCACGGTGGTCATCAACAAGATAAACTATAAACTATAGGATAACGGATTATACTTCTTATTTTGTCATCATACGCTTATGTTTATATGCATAAACATAATTACTTATTAATAACTTATTAATAATGAAAATTCTCTTGGTACCCGTTGAAAGCATAAGTTTGGCAGTTATTGCGTCAACACTTTCACTTTTCGAGAAAACGCGCCTGCATTTGAATTAACCTATGATAACCTGAATTTGAATTTGAATTAAGCAACATGTAATTTGAATTACATACAAAAGCTAAAGCAGCTGTTGGATCTTTCTCAGTGAATTTTATATACGTATCAGCAGGAAAAAGGACAGACAAAAATAAAGGAAAATATTACACATATTATATATTTTACATGTATATATATCATATAAAATGAGTTTTTATATTAAAAATTACAATATTTTTTGTTTTAAATGTAAACACGTTTAATACACGCAACTTTTAAGATTACCATTTTGCCTGAGATACAAAACAATTTTACAAAATACAAATACAATATTCTATTTCGTTCTGTTGAAGGATAAAGAGGGAAAAACGAAGAGTGCCATATTTTGGGAGTTGAGCCTTTTATTAATCGTTCTTTCTCTGCATGAAGATATAAATTTCACCGACATGTTGTATCTTTAACACGTTCCGTGCCATGTGTACCACTGGTGGTACACGTTAAACTTGATC